CAGACCCAACGCTATTTAAAAAAAAAAAAAAAAAAAAAAAAAAGTTTGGTCTATCGGTGCACTGTAAAAGATTGTTCTTGATATCTTCATGGAAAAGGTAAACTGGTTTGGAATTAATTCATCGCTCCCAACTGTCCCCTAATTTGCAACAAAATCTCTCTGTCTCTCTTTCCATTCATTTGTCCATCTCCTTTACTCAATCAGCCTCATAGCATTGTATGACGGTTATTCATAATATACAGTATATGATGGTAAAGGGGTCCAGCGTAACATGATCTGATAATGTTTTTTTTTCTCTCTTTTAAGACTCCATGGCTCTGGAACACAAGGCAGTGCTGGTACAATTATCCTTATCAGGTAAGGAGCACTCTATGTGACTCTAATTGCCAGCTGTATGTAAATTAGTTTGAATTTTGTGCCTTTTTGTGTGCCCGTTTTTGTCTCTCATACATCATACTGTCAATGATTTTATCTTATAAAATAGTGTTTCTTCAGAAGATATTGGGGGAGGGCACAGGCATTTTATATGCGGTGCTGTCAGTTTTTAGGAAAGCTGCTAATTTGCATAGTAGCTGCTCTGTAATGGTAAAGAGAGAAGCTAAAGCTATTAATTAAGGCAGCATCTAATTAGTTTTGGAGCCCTACTTTAGAGGATAAGAGTATTTTGGAGAAAGTCACATGAAATGTCATAATAGTCATTCACTATTCCCTGTGTTTCCAAATTCCAACAGTCTGTTCCAAACTAATTGTAAAAGAATGCCATACATGCACAGGTACCCCTATTTTATACCCAAGAGTTATAATGGTGGCAAACAAAAACGACATTGTCTGGGTTGCATTCTTTGCCGTTCATGTCAATTCTGTAGTGTAGTGGAGTGTAGTACAAGTACATCGACAGATGTGACCATCTGCAAGCACTTTTTGGTTCTGAAGGAAGGTACAGAGAGTAATGAGGAGCTGTGCTTTAAGCTGTTATTGGATTGGAGGGAGGGAGTTGCTTCAACTAGTCAATGAGCTGGCCTGAAACTTCCCAGGCTCAAAGGCTGAGGATCCCAGCAGGTATAGGCATTTATTTAGCATCAAGATCAAAGCCAAGTGGAAAACTGCAGCCATTGAATGGTTAAGCTTGGTCTACTGAGTTAGTTTGAATGCCAGATTTTCATGTTCGACTGGCTCCAGGCTCATGATGGAGCTGGCTCCTAAGAAAATACTGCTGGCTCCTGGATTGGACAGACTGGCCCCTTAGCTCCATATTAATTTGTTCACCCCATATGTATTATTTTTGACATTTGTTTTTGTATTGTTTTGTAAAAATAAAAAAAGTTACTCTTCTTAGTTAAAGGTAACATTTTTGTAGACATATAAGGGACATTTCAATAGATGTTGGCCTTTGTAAGCTCTGTGAATGTAATATTCTGGGTTTAGTGGTGGCAGTGTCACCCAGCGGACTCTTTGTTTACATAGCATTACATCTCAGTGTGCTTTGGAAGCTTGCATTAAAAAAAGAAAAATAACAATGTTAGCTCAGAGTTTGAAAAGAATGTGAACCGACAACATGAGCGATTTTTTTTTAAACCCTAGAGGTTCACATCTGTTGCTGAACACTACATAGATATTTGAAAAGCGCTGATCTTTGCAGAGGCCATTTCATGTTTCTGAGCCCCAGCTGTTTAAGTCTATTTCAGAATTTACTCCGTTTCCCTAAATTATGGGCTTATCAGGCTGCAGTAACTCCAGTAATGACATGTTCCTTAAAGAGATCTGGTCACAACTAGAATTATGAATAATTTAAGGCAGAATCTTATATAACCATGCAGGATTACTTGTAAAACATGTACATTTGCATCCTAATTTGTCTTTGTTGTCTTTGGATGTTTGTGTTTCATGGTTGAGTTTTAGTCAGATGGTAAATGGTCATGTGAAGTTTGAAAGTTGCTGCCTTGAGCTTACAGACTGCAAACTCGGAAAAAAACACAAGTGTAAAAAATGATGTGTGGCGCCTTCAAAATCGATACCAGACTCTTATCCCAGATAGGTGTTTGGTATGGATTTTGAGGAGGGCAAAAGTACAAAAATGGGGTTCCCGTCTATACATCAGAGCCCCCCCCCCCCCTTTCACATCAGGATCCCGCCTTTCACATCATTGTCCCTCTTACATTAGTAGCCCCCTTCACATAAGGAATGCCCTCTTTTCTCATCACAGCCACTCTCACACTAGGAGCCCCACTATACATCAGAAGCCCCCCTTTACATCAGAAGCTCCCCCTTAAGATCAGAAACTCTCTGTTCACATCAGAGTCCCCCCCTCTTTTACATCAGCATTCCCCCTTCACATCAGGAACCCCCCTTCACATCAGAAGCTACCATTCACATCAGAAGCTACCCTTCACATCAGAAGCTACCCTTCACACCAGAGCCCCCCTTTTACATCAGCATTCCCCCTTCACATCAGGAGCCCACCTCACATCAGAAGCTACCCCTTCACATCAGAAGCTACCCTTCACATCAGAGCCCCCTTTCACATCAGCTTTCCCCCTTCACATCAGGAGCCCCCCTTCACATCAAGAGCCAACTTCACATCAGAAGCCTGCCTGCACAATGGAAAGGCATAATGTTGTGTTAAAATTTTGGGGCACCCCCAGGTAAAGCTGAAGGCACTTCAGGTTGCCATGTCATCCTGGTTGAGAAAGGCTGGCCTAAAGGGTCTAAGTCCATGGAGGGGCTTGCTCCATAACTTCTTCAGACAGGAAAGACTGTTGTTACTTGTGTTTTGCAGTCAGGGTTCTTTTTGCCTTACTACACTTCATGTTGTTTTTTTTATTTATTTTATTTATTTTGCTATGTTCTGTATTCTGTCCTCTTACCTAGTCATTAAAATTAAAACAGTTCTGTTTTGGGTTTTTTAGCAACTAACAGCTGACCTGCATTACTACTACATTGTCGAGCTGTCCTTCTACTGGTCTTTGATGTTTTCTCAATTCACAGACATCAAACGAAAGGTAAAAACTCATTTCATCACACATCCGCACATTGTTCCATTAAATTGTAGAGCCTCTCTTCAATAGAAATGTAACGAGTACAGTAATGGGTTTTACGATTTATGATACGATGATCTTTTGCATTGTCACATTAATCTGTTATTTGGCTTTATTTGTGTTCTGCTAACAGCTTTTTAAATGTAATTTTCATCTTTGCATCAATAAAACGAAATCCTTTTGTAGTTTGTTAATAGGTTGAATGTTACATTGTGTTATATATCTTGGATAGTTTATGAATATTGTTACCTTTTTTTGGTTTTGTTTGTTTGTTTTTTAATGCATTCCAGACGAAGAATATTTTATGGGCCAGTAATAATAAAACATGGGAAGAGGTACTATCAAAAAAGTACACAGCATTGCAGTGGTGACTGTGTTTTCCCATTTATCTGGTTCCTTTTAAAGCGGACCTCTACCCATATATTTAACATAACAAAAAACACACCTTTAGAAATGTTTAGTAATGACAATCTACAAACACATACTTCTAGATAATTGTCGGCTTTGTATTCTTTGCATACCTTATTTTTCTTTTCTTCCCCAGTCTTGTCACAGTGGCCACGTTTACTAAGGGCAGATTACTAGCTCTCCTCTTACTTCCTAGATTTCTGGCACGTGTGACTAGACATGTGACGAGGACATGTGAGCATGCACATCATCTCAGGGGAGGAAAATCTCATCTGGAATCTCACAAGATATCAGGGAAAGGCATTTGTCCTGGTCACATGTTTAGTCACATGTGCCAGAAATCCAGGAAGTAAAAAGAAAGCTAGTAACCTGCCCTTAGTGAACATGGCGACTGCCAGAAGACTGGGGAAGAAAAGAAAAATAAGGTATACAAAGAATATAAAGAATATATTGTGAATAGCCCGTACAGCAGCCCTTTGGCTCGACTGAACCCCGCCCCCCCCCCAGTACATCCTGCTGTGCTGATTATTATTATTAATATTGTTCAGGACTTATACTGTATAGCGCCAGCAGTTTGTGCAGCGCTCTACAATATAAGGAAGACATTACAGTTACAATAAAATTCATGACAAGATGGTTAGGAGGGCCCTGCCCGTGCAAGCTTACAGTCACTTACCTTGCTCCCTGTCAGTCATGCTGTAAACAAACCAGTTTTACCACCCTTTTTCTCAATGACAGCAATAAAAATATCATCATCGTTATTGGCCCATTTAATTCTGCCAAAGCTTGCATGAGAATAATAGAACAAAATGGTCAATAGATGCTATGAGAAACATTGATTTTTCTGCCATGACATAGAATATTAAATGGGCCCTGCAGGGAGCACGCAGTGAGCAGGGTAATGAGGGCATGTGGTGGAAAACTAACATTATTCACCCCTTACTGTCGTTTGGTGGTTGAGGGGACTCACTTTCCAAAAATCAAGAAGTGTTATAACAATCTGATACAACCAATAGATCTCATCTATAAATGTGTCTGAAAATAAAGATTCTCTCAAAACCCTCTGTGTGCTGATATCAGCCAACCAGATTCTGCCATTCATACTCACAGCACAGTATTGAAAATTATGATTGGTTGTCACAACAAAATCTTCCTGAGATATCCCTTTGTTTAGAAGTCATCATAAGTAAAGCCCAGTTCTCATAAGGTGTTATTAAACCCAAATCTTAAAGTAGAACCGGGTAAAATGTTTTAATAACCCTTGCAGTGGGGCTACCCCAACACTACAAGGGATAAAGTGATATTAAATTCAAAAGGATTTTAAGCTTTTTCCAAATGAAATCACTTACAATGGATTCAGTACCTCTCTAGGTGCATTTAGTGTGCACCAATACAGCACCTGTGGTCACACTGTCATTTTGTACCTTTTGTCACAAAAAAGGTACAAAGCCAATGAAAGTGGCTCTGCACCACGTGATTACTGTGACCAATCACAGCAATCACAATATGTAAACAATGGCTGTGATTAGCAGCTTGCTCTCCATTTTCTTTCACACACTAATCTATTGTAAGAGAAAAACTTCCTGATCACCAGCCATTACCAGCACCAGAGCCAGCCAGTACCAGGGCCAGCCAGTACCAGTGCCTGTACAACCAGGTCCAGTGTCATCCAATACCAGTGCCTGTGCAATAGTACCAGTGCCTGTCCACCAAGTTCCATTGTCTGTACACTCAGTACCGGTGTCTGCGCACACAGTACCAGTGCCATCCAGTACCATTGCCTTTTTACCCAGCACTAGTGCCATCCAGTACCTGTGCCTGTACAGCCAGTTCCATTACCTGCACACCTAGCACCAGTGCCTGTATAATCAATACCAGTTCAAGTACATGCAGTATCAGTGCTATCCAGTGCCTGTACAGCCAGGTCCTGTGCCATCCAGCATCAGTGTCTGTACAGCCAGGTCCAGCACCATCCAGCACCAGTACCTGTACATGCAGTACAAGTGCTATCCAGTATCAGCACTTGTACAGCCAGGTCCAGTGCCATTCAGTACCAGTGCCTGTACACCCAGTTCCAGTGTCTATACCCCCAGTACCAGTGCCATCAGTACCTGTGTCTGAATACATTATGGCCTAAATTTATGAAGATAGGTGATTTATGTACTATGGTTTATAACAGAAAGAAAGGGAAACTATTTTTTTTTTACATTTTCAGTTGTTTTTTCCTAACAGTAAAAAATAAAAAGAAAGCCCAGTGGTTGTTTTGTACCACCAAAAGATAGCTCGATCTGTCTCAAAAAATTACATAAAATTAATTTGGGTACAGTGATGGATGACCAAGTAATTGTCAGTCAGACTATCAGAGGAGTGAAAAATGGCCTGGATATGAAGAAGATTCATGACATTTTTGAGTATATTAAGTGCTTTCTAATTAAAAGCTTTGATTTGAAGGTATTAACACTACTTTAATGAAAAGGGTTTTCAGTCTCTGCACCCTGTATATATGTTTGTTGTTTCTGCCACTGTATCCCCGACCATGGAGAAGCAGGAATAGTTCCAATCCATCTCTATTGTCAGGATGTAGCTACTTTTGCAGCAATTTGAAATGACCTCACTTGTACCAAGGTTTTCATAACAGAATGCCAACTCCACCGTGCTGGTGATATGCATGGCTGAACATCAAGTGGAATTTCAATAGGGAACATTTTCTGCTATAGAATCTCCGGAGAATATTCATACAAATATACAGAGACTTTTATATCAAGTGGAACGTTCTACACTACTGACAGACTGAACATTCTCAAAACGGGTCAGAAAAGTGTCATAGAATCAGAAATGTAAATGCATAAATGATCAGAGATTATCTGAGGTTTAGAGGGGATGACTACTAAAGATTTCTCCAATCCAGTCTTGAAGGATGATGATGCAAGTGGCATGACTAGCAATCACGGGGGCCCCATACAAAATTTTGCTAGTATCGGTATTGGTGCATCCCTACTGCCTTCTGAAATACAACTCAACATCTGTACAATGTAACATTATCATTGCTTGCTGGAAGCAATGCATGATGGGATATGTAGTGTGAATTCAAGATTTGATCACATCAAGCAGGAGGGAAAGAGACACATAGCACACTGGGAATCCAGGAAGTTGATGAAAGTGATGGGCAGACAATAGGCAGCACTCACTACATGAAAATATATATTTTTTAAAAAGTAAGCTTTGATTGTATTATCAAAAACAACTCCAGTATGTATTCCTATTACAATGCTGATGTTATAACAGGATGTTATATGCTGGACTTCACAGCGCCCTTAAGCAAGGACTCTTTAAACTTGATACGAGGATCAAAACATTGTTACCACTCTTTTTATGCAAAATAATTTTGTTTGCTTTTACAGTAATTGTTGCAGCAGTTGTTTACCAAGGCTCTGGCATGCACTCTCTGTGGAAGCAATAAATCATCATAAATAATATTATAAAATAAAAATCATGAAATAAAAGCAGAGCTTGTAAAATGTAAATACTCTAAACGCTTCGGAGGTACTGTTTACAATATCTTGCCATGCATACACACTGGCAGTCCCTGAGGTGAACTCCAGACACAGAAAAGTTTAATAAATAGACTAAATATAATATAATAAGAAGAATATTATATAGCCACAAAAGATGTAAACTTGTGTGCACCAAATGCCTTTAGAAATCCGGTTATTACCAGTGATATCATTGCTACATGTGCAAAGAGCAGAGCTGTGGGAGGGACCCAGAAAGCCACACCCACTACAGGCTGGGGCGGAGACAAGACCAGTCACCAGCACAAGGAGAGAGAGAGCAGCAGTGAGCAGTCTATTACAGGAAGTTAAAGTTTCATACTGGATTTCTGCACAGATCTGGAAGAAATACACAAAGCATGGCAAGATTTACATAAGAATATACATGACTCTTGTATTTACACAACATTTGCTTATCCCAGGGTTAATCCTTGAGAAATAAAATGTTTCTAGTGTTGACGTTCTGTGGAATAGCTGTAGATCTTTGCTTGACATTTGTATCCAATGCCAACCTCATATATTATGCCTTCCTAAATATTCAGAAAGACTAATACATTTTACATTATTACAGGATCTGTTGACGGCTCGCTCATGTCTAAATCTGGTCCCCTTTGAGTTGCTCTGTAGCTTGGAGGAATTGAGAGGGTGCCAGGGTTTCTTCAATATTTTATTTAAGCAAACCTATCAGCTAAAAATCAATGGCACCGTTCCAGCGCTTGTTCTTTTCTTCTTTTCCTTTTCAGATCAGAACTACAGAGGTGATCGGATTGCTTTGTATGTGCCGAGCTTTAAATAACTGATACGCAGTTTCTTGTATAAGAAGCTGCAAAATGTAAAATTACGCTCCAAGTCATACATTTTACTAACCAGTGATACTGATGGAGCAGAGGAACTGATTCATCGAATAATGTTCCCTGTGTTCTTTATTAATTATTCTGTGATATATATTGTTTTATGATTTCACATTCGGCAGTGAGAATTTGAGCTTTCCATGTTGGAAATTGC